ATAACAGCATGAATTTAATGTAGAGACCGGAGAGTTTTATTTCCAAATATGTATTCATTGACAATTGATAAGGATGTACCATATTGCACAGCTAGTGTTCTCCCTAAGCAGAATTGTTTTGTTAGCACAGAAACAACTCTTATGAAGATCATTTTCATCACGGTTTGCACTGCTCACAGAGGGAGCATTGTCTATTGTCCATTAACGCGTTGAAAAAAAAAGTATAAATACACTGTAGTTTAGAGACGTAATCACAAGGATAGTAATTCTAACTTTTTCTAGAAGTATTTTGCATTATGAATAATTGAGGTGTAAGTGCTCAAAAACATGTTTTAGCTACAGATTCATTAAAGCAAAGAAAGTGAGGAATATTCAGAGTTACAAATGTATAAAATCGTAATGAAGTTAATTTATTTAAGTGTGCCTTAATGAATAGGTCAGCTACACAACTAGTGATTTAAGTCATATGGCACATCTGTACGAAGAGGTTTTGATTGAGGTGTTCTTATGCAAGCTAGATAACATTAATACTGCCCAAAAGATATGTTATTCTTTTAATCAATTTCATAAAGAAAAAAGGCTTGGTGGTATGTCCAGCATTTGCAATGCCAATTCTGAGTTGACATAATTATACTATTATATCTCTAATAAAAAAAATCGATTGATTTTCCTTTTTGCAATCTTGTATTCATGAATAATAAGGTCAACCGCTGCAGCAGAAGTCATTTTAAATTGAAAAAAAAGGCATTTTCCCACACATCCTGTCCGCAGTGTGGTTGACCTAACCCCCCTCCATGCCCCCCAAACCTTCTCAAAATAATTGAGAAATTCATTTTTTTTTCTTAGCTGCAGCAGGGTCATTAAATTTGAAAAAAAGGGAATTAAAAAAAAGAAAAAGAAAAAGGTTTGCATAGGTGAGTGAGTCACTAATTGCCCCATAGCCACTTTTTCCTGAAATGTTTTGGAAAATTCCCATTTTTCAAATTAGGACTTCTATTTAATATAGTTGGATACATTTAATTTCAATTATTTAATTTGACAAAAAATATTTTAATTTTGTAATATTTAGATTTAAATATATTGATATACTTTATTATGCATGTTATATTTTTGATATTTTAATTTGTTGAAAAAATTGTTTTAAAAGTTTATCAAAATATATTAAATCATTTGGAAAAAGCTTATCCAACAATATTAAATCAAGATCTAAATTATTTCTGCTGCTTCTCCCTTTTATTTTAATTGATTTCAGCATGCGCGGTTGAGACTTGCGAAGCCTGATACTTCAGCAGTTGAGAGAAGCTTATGATAGAAAGATGATTATGCGGAGGTGTGGCTTGGCCCCGGATGAGAATGGCCACCTAATCCTCTCGCTCCGCTCCTGCCTGCACAAAAGCACGACTAAATAGCAAAATCTGGCACCCATGGGATGCACCAGACGAGCCCAAATGACCCCCTCCACTTCAAGAACGCAAGGGAACAACCTGCACCCCTCGATAAGAAGTTACCTGCACACTCTGTGTGACTTCCTCTCACAGGATGAGGCCTCCAGACCCTTGAATCCCAGGGCCCCGACCTGCACTGTCCCGCGGTCATGACCACTAAAGCACAAGTTAAGCAGATACAGGACCTGCACCTCCACGTCGTGGACCTGGACAACCGCAGCCGTAGGCACAACATAAGGGTAAGGGGCTGCAGGGAATCAGATAACCCAGAGGATACTAGGCCCCTCTTGATACCACATTTCAACCACATCCTGGGCCGGCCTAGGGAAGCCCGCATCCCTATAGACAGAGCTCATAGGGCACTGAGGCCCAAACCACCCCCGGGCGCCCCTCCCAGAGACATAATCTGCCATATACCAGACTTCCAACTTAAGGAAGACATCATGAGGAAAGCCCGCGCAGAAAGATCCTGGAGGCACGAGGGGCAGATGATCGAGCTATACAACGACCTCTCCCACCTCACCCTGCAGGCCTGAAGGGTGCTGCAGCCTTTAACCGCCGCTATGCAGGAGGCCCAAATACGATACCGATGGCAATTCCCCTTCGTCCTCACAGCCCGATGGGGTCACACCGAAGCCACAATCCGAATACCGCAAGATGTCCAGGCCTTTCAAGAAGCCCTTGACCTCCCACAAATCCCCATCCCGGACTGGACCAATTGCCCGGTGAATGAACGCTCCGCAGGAAGACCAGTTTGTCGCAACATCCAGCAGGGACCAGACACTGACTACATCCCTCTTCAGCAAGCAGAGCCTGAGGAATAGAGAGGGTGCTACCCACTCCCCTTCCCTCAGCACCTATCTCTGGTCTGTAAACCAGAGGGCCCTACCTGCCTTAGATGGAAATGGGGTGATACCACATCCAGAGACTTTGCCTTTGCCACCCGCGGAACACTATGCCTCTTTGAACCGCCACCCTCTCTTACTCCGACATTACATCAGCACGAAGAAAATATTCCCTCCCCCACCCCCACCTTTTTATTTTCTCTTTCCTTTTTCACTTTTACTAAATGACTTATCGGATATCGCCCATCCACCCAGGGTCTGCGTGCAACAGCACCTCACAGCCTTGCACGATCGGACATCACCTTGCTCCCCCACCTGCCCTGGACAGTCCCAAAGATTCTCCAGCTTGCTAACCGGGCCCTGCCACTCAGGCCACCAGCACGCCTAACCGAGCAACCCTAGATGAACCGCCCACGACTTGCCCGGCACTGCCCGCGCTCCCCCATGGCGGGCTGGGGTACAGACGCCCAGTGAACATGCTCCAACCTCACATTGGAGTACACCACCCGCAAACTACTGAGGACTGATGCTTTGGCATCGCATTGAACGCTCTCCAGGAGACTGCAATGGGGGAGAGTGACCAGATGTGCAAGTATAACGCAGGAGACCATAACCCCTACAGACACACCACCAACCACACTCACCCCATAAGACAGTATACACAGAGACAACAGCCAACTCATGCTTAGATGAATATGCTTACACAAGCACGACACATAGCCACACACCACACTTCCACAATGACATAGGGGCGCTGACACCAGAGAGACGGGGTACCGGGGCTCTGCTTAACAATGGTTAAAGTGTTAAACTACTAATGATACTTATCTGTGTTTTAACCCCTTAAGGACACATGACATGTGTGACATGTCATGATTCCCTTTTGTTCCAGAAGTTTGGTCCTTAAGGGGTTAAACTATGTGCTTAATTGAAAATGTAACATGTAACCTTATAACAGCCCATCGATTGTTAGCCGTTAAAAGGCACCAAGCTCAGCCTGACGAGACCTCCAGATGACTGGAACATAACTGTGCCATGACATGCAGCTAGGCGGGAATCTGATCCCAGTGGGGCAAACAAGTCACGCAGAAACATTTAGTCACATATTCTCCTGATTAACCACACAAAGCAGCTGTCCCATGACCATGCTTGATACTTCTTGATTTTCATACAAACAAACAAGAGATGGGAATGTTGACATAGGGCACATCTCTATTTACACGAGACTGCCTAAGCTAAAACTGGGATGCAGCCGAGTTAGAATTGTGCTCCCCCACTCTTTTTTTCTCTTTTCCTCCCCTTTTTCTTCTTCTCTGTCTTCTTCTCCCCCTCTCTCTACCCTCTTCCTCTTCTCTCCTCCCTCCTTCCCACCCCCACCCCACCATCCTCTCCCATATCTGACTGGTTACCTTCAGGCCATAAGTGACCCACACGACGCAAACTCTTGACGAATGACACTAGATGGCCCTCATACCACACGGGCATGTCTAAACTGTTTGAATTGTTCGGAATGTTACCTAAGTTCTTTTTGCTAATGTTATATACTATGTATTCATATCAAGTATGATGTTCTCCCTTTGCCCCACCTTACTCTTATCTTGCTTACCCCACGGTACGAACCATAGAGGGGCCAAAACGGAAGCCCGCTCCCACGCAACACAGACCGTTTTTACGGTCCTACCCTTAATGGGGGCCACATTACCTTACCCTTCAGAGTTACTGGGCAGCAGGAGACGGATGAGGACCAATTGTGACTCTGCGCCCATCGAGAAGTCACTAGTAGGTGACCTACTCTCCCTCCGATGCCACCAACCCCACGGGTTCATTGCCAACAACCTGTGAGGTGGACATAGAGGACAACGTCCCTAGACTTCCACCTTCCAGCGGCACATTACCACTAACTACTGTCGCCTCCGCGACTCAACCACACTCACTCCCGCTGCACCACATAACTCGCTCCACCATCCCCTACCCTCTCCCTTCTTCCTTCCTGCCACAGAACCCCCTACCCTCCTCTCCTACAGCACTGCCTACTCTGGGCCCTGGGGGAACCTAGTAACATGGGCTCACCCCCGTCCGCTCCCCATGCCCGCGGCACGGGCAGAAGCGATAGAAACAACATCAACCTCTACACGATCAATGCGAGGGGCCTCAACTCCCCACACAAACGGGCCAGGGCACTGCGAGAGATCAGAGATACTGGGGGTATCGATCACCTTCTTCCAGGAAACCCACTTCCATGCACCCCAGGCTCCTAAGTTCTCCAACAGATACACACACAACCCCTCAAATAAATCCAAGGGAGTGGTTAAACTGCTCTCGGCGGACATTCAGTTTCAGTTGGAAGCGGAGGTAAAGGACACGGAAGCGGAGGTAAAGGACCTCTTTCTCAAAGGGAAAATAGGCGACTCCAGAATCACACTGGCGAACTTATACCTCCCGAATAAGGGCCAGAAGCAGTTCCTGACCTCCGCCCTGAGAACCCTGGAAACATTTGGAGAAGGAGCCGTCATAATCGGAGGGGACTTCAATGCCCCAGACCTTCAATGTCCAGAACGGACACATTGAAAGGAACCTCCATGATACCAGACCATGTCCTTCGGGGCATGAGGATTCTTCTCTCAGACCACCAGCTCGCAGACTGATCACAGATCCTACTCGAGAATAGACTACCTCTTCACCCAACAATGAGACCTAGACACACTGATATCTGCCCGCATAGCGCCCATGACCTGGTCGGACCACGCACCAGTGATCCTTACCATCGAAAATCCCAGGCCCTTTAGATCGCAATGGACGTGGAAACTAAACGAATCCCTCTTAGAGGACCCATTAATACAAACAGAAATACGCACCGCCTTAGAGCACTACTTCCTCACCAACAAGCCACCTGACTGCACACCACCCAACATCTGGGAAGCACACAAATGCGTCATCAGACGGACGCTTATTAAACATGGCACCCGACTGAAAAAACAGCGCGCGCAAGAAATCACACACCTTGTCGACCAGGTAGCCCAACTGGAAACACGACACAAGCACACCCTCCATGACGCTACCTACAAATAACTCCTGGAAGCCAAAGCGGAACTCAACACACGCCTAACATCAAAGATTTAATTCCAGTTCCAACTCACAAAGAAAACTTTTTACGAGTTTGGGAACAAGAGCGGCAAATTGCTCGCTAGGGCACTGAGAGTATGGAGGCAAAGGAGCCATGTCCAATGGATCTCCCTGGTGGGAAAATCCCTGCTTACACCAAAAGCAATAGCGGAGGGATTCAGACAATATTACTCCTCACTGTATTGCCTGCCCCCAAACCCCTCACGCGTGACCGAAGCAGAGGAGACCTTCATAGCACACCAGAAAGCATATATCACGCAGAATATGACATCTAAGCTCCCGTCTCAAGCTATAACGGCCCTGGAGGAAGACATCACGAGCGAAGAATTAAGCTTAGCCATTAAACAGGCCAAACAGGGGACGAGCCCAGGACCGGACGGATACACGGCAAAATACTATAAGATGTTCACAGACATTCTCACTCCACATCTACTTACCCTCTATAACTGCATCTAAAACGGAGGACACCAACTCGCTTCGAGCCCATGTCGTGATAATACCAAAAGAAGGCTAGGACCTGTCCTCATGCGCTAGCTATCGACCGATTTCCTGCGCATCCAACTGCTACTACCAGACCTCATCCAACGTGACCAGGTGGGATTCGTAGAGGGACGAGAGGCCAAAGACAACACCATCAAGGCACTCAATTTGATCCACGCGGCAAGACAGAGACCCTCACCCGCCTGTTGGCGTGCATTTCATATGTGAAAGTCAAATAGAAGGGTCTAATAGTGCGCTTACAGCGCAGTTGTAAATATTCTAATTGTTTTGTTGCTAATCTGCTACATAGTACATTTTGGAGCCTGCTCTTCATATCTGAGAGTCAAATCGAAGCGTCTAATAGTGCACTTACAGCGCAATTGTAAACATTCTAATTGTTTTGCTGCTAATCTGCTAAATAGTAAGTTTTGGGTGTGTTCTTCATATCTGAGAGTCAAATTGAAGCGTCTAATAGTGCGTTTACAGCGCAGTTGTAAACATTCTAATTTTCTGGGTGCTAATCTCCTAAATAGTACATTTTGGGGTGTGCACTTCATATCTGAGAGTCAAATAGAAGCGTCTAATAGTGCACTTACAGCGCACTTGTAAAAATTCTTATTTTCTGGGTGCTTATCTGCTAAATAGTACATTTTGGATGTGCTCTTCATATCTGAGAGTCAAATCGAAGCATCTAATAGTGTGCTTACAGAGCACTTATAAAAATTCAAATTTTCTGGGTGATAATCTGCTAAATAGTACATTTTGGGGTGTGCACGTCATATCTAAAAGTCAAATAGAAGCGTCTAATAATGCGTTTCCAGCGCAGTTGTAAACATTCTAATTGTTTTGCTGCTAATCTGCTAAAAAGTACATTTTGGGGCCTGCTCTTCATATCTGAGAGTCAAATCGAAGCGTCTAATAGTGCGCTTCCAGCGCAGTTGTAAACATTCTAATTGTTTTGCTGCTAATCTGCTAAATAGTACATTTTGATGCCTGCTCTTCATATCTGACAGTCAAATAGAAGCGTCTAATAGTGCGTTTACAGCGCACTTGTAAAAATTCTTATTTTCTGGGTGCATATCTGCTAAATAGTACATTTTGGGCGTGATCTTCATATCTGAGAGTCAAATCGAAGCGTCTAATAGTGCGCTTACAGCGCAGTTGTAAACATTCTAATTTTCTGGGTGCTAATCTGCTAAATAGTACAATTTGGGGCGTGCACTTCATATCTGTGAGTCAAATAGAAGCGTCAAATACTGCGGTTACAGCGCAATTGTAAACATTCTAATTGTTTTGCTGCTAATCTGCTAAATAGTACATTTTGGAGCCTGCTCTTCATATCTGAGAGTCAAATCGAAGGATCTAATAGTGCGCTTAGAGCGCACTTGTAAAAATTCAAATTTTCTGGGTGCTTATCTGCTAAATAGTACGTTTTGGGCGTGCTCTTCATATCTGAGAGTCAAATTGAAGCGTCTAATAGTGCGTTTACAGTGCAGTTGTAAACATTCTAATTTTCTGGGTGCTAATCTGCTAAATAGTACATTTTGGGGCCTGCTCGTCATATCTGAGAGTCAAATCGAAGCGTCTAATAGTGCGCTTACAGCGCAGTTGTAAACATTCTAATTGTTTTGCTGCTAATATGCTAAATAGTAAATTTTGGGGCATGCACTTTATAACAGAGTCAAATAGAAGCGTCTAATAGAGAGCTTATAGCGCACTTGTAAAAATTCTTATTTTCTGGGTGCTAATCTGCTAAATACTACATTTTGGGCGTGCTCTTCATATCTGAGAGTCAAATAGAAGCATCTAATAGTGTGCTTACAGCGCACTTGTAAAATTCTATTAGATGCTTCGATTTGACTCTCAGATATGAAGAGCAGGATCTAAAATGTACTATTTAGCAGATTAGCAGCAAAACAATTAGAATGTTTACAACTGCACTGTAAGCGCACTATTAGATGCTTAGATTCCAGCTCTGATGCCCGGCGCTGATCTGAGGGGTTGAAAACTACTGTTAAGGGTGGGGTCTACTGTGATGGGCAGGGCCTAGCACTTTATACCTTGCTTTATACCTTGTGTCTTTGTACCCACAGTTGTCCATGCCCACACACTTTTCTTGTGGAAAAAAAACAGTACTTCATCCATTTCTTCCAAAAACATCTGTGGAGGTAGCAGGCATATTCACACCTCAAGACAGCCAGGCAGGGCAAGAACGTTGTAATGTATACATTTTTAAAAAGGGGAAGTAGCTACAGATGCAACATGAATTATTTAAAATTATTTTTATTTTTTTTAAAGGAATTTACAAAAAATTGAAGTAAAATTGAAGTAAAAAATCAGTGGTTAGCTGACAAACAACTCACACCTTCTACCCCAGGAAAAAATAGTGTAGTCGCATGCAAGACTCACTTGTCTAGTAAACTGCCATATACTGTTCTAAAGGAAGAGGCATGCAATGTCCAAAGCACAAGCAGTGGCACAGAGGCAAACTGCAAATCATATAATCTAATACAAATTCAATCAATCAATAAATCAATCAATCAAATATCAATAAAAAGATTCTGAATCAGGAAATCCAAGTGGGTATAAGTGACACTGACAATAGCAGTTAGAAAAAGACAGGTCCAAGTTTTCCTGTCCAATTTGCAACTGTTGACTACTAGCTTTATCCTCACCATCAGCCCTGCTCTGACTGAGGGTGGTGGGAGTAGTGTAGTAGGGACTGCTGATGGTAGATGGTGACAACTGTGCAGAATCAGATACAAAACCAGTAGATCTGCTGCCTGCCTTAGTACTTTCTTCTGCTTCTTCCCTCAGTAATAAAGACTTTTGTCTTTTCAGAAGTAGGTTCAGACTGGCACTACTGAGATGATCCAGCACTCTCCTCCTTCTCACTTCCTTGATGAATAATTTGCACTTTGCAAATATCCCTTCTTGGAGGCACTCAAAGTAATCCAACACATGGATGGTTTCGTGCAATACATTACACTCAAGTTTTCAACTTTTGGCTGCTGAAGATGCAGATGGATTTGCATCCATGGCAGTGCAAACTGTCGTAACACTAGCCTGTACACTAGCACTTGGTTGATTAATGCTAATGTTGATGGTGTTGGTACTAGTGATGTTGATAGTGGTGGTTGTGTTGGTAATGGTAACAATGACAGTGTGTGAGATACCTGTGTCACTGACAGCAGGTGCAGCTGATGTTAAAATTCTCTCTGTTGGGTGAAGTAATTGTAAAGCAGATAGAGATTGACTTTGACAAGGTGGAGAAGGAGGTGATTTTACACTGGGGAAAATACTAGGTTCTCCATACTCTCAGTTTGAAATTCTTCTGGCTCATAGTCATATTCATAGTCTGACTCATAGTCAAGTCAAATAACTATGTGATAACAGCAATATCATTACCAGATTCATGACCGCCACCACCAAGACCAAACATTACTTTGGCACTCTGCTCTACCTCTCAGTAACAAAAAGCTCTGACGGCACCCACAACCTAGACTCTGCTGAGCTCTCTCTTAATTCCTTCTTGGAGGGGACCACAAGAATGTATATATACACATTTATTTATTTTATTTATTTATAAATAAAAAGGATACATTGAGATTTCTCTAGTTTTCAAGTATGTCCTGGGTCCACAAAACATTGCAGTAATACAATAGGGTACAATAAAATAGAAAAACAACATTAATACACAACATATACAAAATTTAACATAGAACAGGTAGGAAATATAAAATCAACCACGACAGGTACATTCTGCTTTGAGATATGTAGAGGACTTTAGGCTTGGGGAAGATTTGAAAGTCTGCGGCAGGTCGTTCCATAATGTGTAAACAAACATTGACTGGCACCCATCTTTATTTTTTTAATTCCTGCTTGCTGACCAACACAATCTACAAAGATGTCCACCAAAATAATGCACTCTCATGCCTTGTTAAACTTGAAATACTTGCATAACA